CAGCACGAGCAAGTTCCCTTTTCACCAGCGTCTCTACATGGCTGGGTCCTCTGACCATGCTCACAAGCCCTGATGGGCAGAGAACAGGACAGAGGACGGAAGGAAGCGCTGTGGCAGCCTCCCCGAGGGGCTGAAATACCCTGCACACCGTCAAAACTCACCTCTCCTGGAAACACCTGTACTCCCCCATCTGTGCCAGGGCTTTGCTCTGGGGGCAGAATGCTAACTCTTTCCACCAGCAGCTTCTGCCTGGGCAGATTCAAATGCCTGGCTGCCTGGCTGCGCAGGGATGGTGTCCGACCGCTTGCTGTGTGTCCTGTTGTCTCCTTCAGCCGGTTTCTTAATTACTGCTCAGAATCTACTCTGTATTTAACTATTTTCTCTGGTGCGTCTTCCACCCAGCACTGGACTCTGTGACTCCTCCCTTGGTGATGGCGAACCCCTGGCACACCAGCCGCAGCAGGCTGCTAGCACTGAGAGCTCCAAAGGTTCCCCGCCACTGCTGATGGGGGGCTTTTCAGTTCCCTTTGTCCTCTGAGAAGTTTGGTTCTGTTTATTTTGAGGTCATGCTCCATCTGAGAACTGTTCTTCCAGAAAATCAAAAGATATATTCTCATTACAAGATGATTTCATAAAATAATAAATTGATGTTGTTTAGTGTCTTAGTTACTTGTCTCATTGCTGGGACAAAATACCCAACACCCAAGTTAAAGGAGGAGAGGTTTATATGGGCTCACAGTTGGCGGAGGCTTCAGGTGATAGTTGGCTGGCTCCAAGGCAGGGGGGTGCACGGCAGCGCAGAGCCGGTCCCTGGCAGGCAGAGGGCGGCAAAGTTTCCGAGTAGGGAAGAAGCAGTGTGCAGGCAGCCCCAGCCCCAGCCCCAGCCCCAGCCCCAGCCCCTTTCTGTCCCTTGGATTCTAGCCGGGATTCCTTAGGGCACACAGCACCCACACCAGCCTGGGCCTTCCCATAACACACTCCCAGCACCACGCCAAACCAATCTGGACCAAGTTAGTAATCCCACACCCGAGATCCAGCCACCTCTGGAAAGCTGCACCTTTGCCTGCAGGAGGCTGTGGGGGCCTCGGACTCACGGTGATTCTCCTGCCTCGGCCTCCTGAGTGCTAGGACTTCAGGCCTGCACCACCATGCTGGCTTTTCTTCCGTATCTGCTCACCTCTTGACTGATTGGGATCCTATTTGCTTCTTCTAAACCCGTTTGTCCTACGCTGTTGGTAAATTATGGTTTGACAGTTTCCATGCATAAGTGAATTAGACCAAGTCTGATGTCTTTAGGGTCTGCTCTCCGCTTCCCTAAAACACGAGGCTCTCGGACATCTCGGTGCTGCCAGAGTCCACCCACTTCCACGGTGCACGATAACACTTGGCAGCTCCTCTGCTGAGGCTCCTTGCCCCCACACCGCTTCGAGTTGTACATATTCTATCTTTTGTGCTCAGTTACGTTCATGTTTTCACAATAAATGTTTAGATCTTGCACCATAATCTCTCGGCAGGGCAACTTTTCTTGCCTCTTGAATGTACCCTGCTCTAAATGTATTCCCAACACTGTCCAGTGTGGATTTATTAGTGATGAATATTCTGCTATTGCTTCCTGAAAATGACTTTTACTTATGTCCTTGAAAGGTATTTTCACCAGATACATAATTTGAGGTTGACAGATTTTCTTCAGCACTCTGAAACTACTTGTCTGGACCTGGGCACTGATGTGAGGAATTTCCTGTCACATTGTGCCGTCTTTGAATTAACATTTTCCTCCGCCTTTCCGCGCTGTTTCTGCTTTGACGTTCTAGGGTTCGCACGGCCTCCTCTCAGAAGGGCTTCTGACTTACCCTGAGTGATTTTGTGCTTTGCCCTTGCATTTCCTCAGTTGAAGTGTTGATATTTTTCCCAAATTCTGAAAACTCTTAGCATTTACTACTTCAAATACTGCTTCCCCAGTCTGATTGTTTCTTCCAGAATCCTAATTAGATGCATGTTAAGCAATGTCGTATCATGATCCCCCTTTTCCTCCTAATCATCCTTACGTTTCTGTCTCATCATCAACCTGTTCCAAAAAATTGAATTACAGGTTTCTCACAGAATTTGAGAAATCTTTTACAGAGTGGACGGGTCCAGGTTACAGACCTGGACCGTGAGGATTAACACCATGCTTTTCCACCCCGGCCCTGCCAGCTTTGAGTCATCCGCAGGAGGCCATGTGCTGCTTCCCGACCTCCCGCTCTGGTGCACGCCACCCCGAGAGGCCAACGTTAGCAGAGCTCTGCTCCGCCCTGGGACGGCCTGGACCTTCTCCCTGTACATCGAGCTTACGGGACTTTGGAAAATTGGGTTCACCCAGCTCTGCGTTTTTAATATAAAAATATGAATTCTCCTCCAAATTGAGATGGGTAGAACAGGTGGACTAAACTGTGTACCAGGACACCGCATCAGAGGAGAAGGGAGCCTGGATCTCCTCAGCAGAGGGAAAGAGGCTCGACCTCACAGCTGTCGGCTTCTAGAAGAGATGCCCTGGGGCCCGGGCAGACAGGGGCACAGGGACGGGCAGAATCGCAGAGAGGATCCGAGCCTCTGCCTGCCATTATCCGCAGAGCGGGCTGAGAGGGATGGATAGGAGTTTCCACACGGTTCCCATGTATTTTCTAGTTCTAGAGTTTTTCAAGATGGAATATTGGAGCTCAGCCTGGAGCTCCAGGTCTGGTGTGAGCAAATCCTCCCAGGGTGCTGGCTCACCTACTGCTGCCGGGTGGACTTGTGTTGTCACGGCATGGCCGCCCTTCAGCAGCGAGTGTTGTATTCCAGCTACCGAGCACTTCGGGAGGGGAAAACATTCAGCGTCCAAGCCCAGAACTGCAGGAGGCTGGTGTGGTGTGTGCTTCAGTGTACCCCGTCCCCGCTGCAGCCCGCTGTGTCCTGAGGGACGTCAGTAATGACTCCGTGTAACCCCGTTTGCCTTTCTAGCATATTCCCGCTGCTCTTTTTCTTCTTTCTCTCCTGGACTTTATATTCTTTTCGTTCACCTTTGTGAGTGTCCTTAGACCTGTCTTTCACTTCTCCAATTTCTCTTTGTAACTTGTAAGGTTCAGTGTTTGCTGATTTATTTTTAATCCCTGACATGCTTTTATTTCTGTTCAACTCACTATGCATATTGTCCTCTATTTTCTTACCATCTCGAATATTTCAGAGTTGCAGCGACTAGATGACAGTGTAAAGACTTTCCTGTCCCTGGAAAGCTGTACCTCTCTGAGTCCTCTGTAGCCGTCCAGTGCGTGTCTTCTGAGGGTCCCCTCCTCATGGCTCCCAGTCCTCGCTGGACAGTGGAAGGGGTTCCTCAGGGCTGGTGATGCCCGCGGGCAGCTGTGACTGTGGCCTTCCCCTCGCTGTTAGCTCCAGACAGGTCCGTGCCCCCGAGCCAGCGCCCGCCCAGGGACACAGAACCTGTGCTGACCTCTGGGCCGTCTCCCTCCCGTCGGGCAAAGGACTGATCTCCTCTGTTCCTGCAGCTGACACAGCAGCCTTCTGCAGCAGCGCACTGCTGTGGCTGGGCCGAGCTAGAGGGGAGCAGAGAAGCGCAAAAAGCCGTGGTTTCTTTATAGCAGCAGGAAGGTGGGGCTGATGACTCCCCACAGCAGGAGCTCTGTGGGGAAGGGGCAATACGAAGGGAAAAAGTACATTTTTAACACTGAAATGAAGAGCACAGAACTCAGCACAGGACACAGGCAAGGGATGAGGCAGTCATATGATGTGGGCAGCACTGGGCTGAGGAGGAGGAGGAAGAGGGGGCAGAGCGGGTACAAGGGGTAGTGGGTAAACAGAGCTCGGTGTTTTCTGGAAGCTTCCAATGCTGGGGCTGAGAGTGTACCAGAAACAGAAAGAGCAGAGCTGGAGGGTGCAGGTGAGCAGGCCATGAAGGCCCCCTTCAGTGCCCCTCAGGGTTTGGTGGTGTCCTGAGAAGAGGGGGCGTCAGGGGACGCCACATGGGAGTGGGAAACCTGGGCATGCATGGCCCCCCATCCAACTTCCCGGCCAGAAACTGCTCCACCTCCCCTAGCTGTGCAGCCAGGACCTGGGTCTGCCTGAGCCCAGGCAGGGCCCAGGAAGACTAACTGAGTCACATCCACCATGGTGGGACTGGTCTCTACATGGACTCCCACTGGACACAGAGGCACCAGGCCATTCACTGGCACCAGTAAAGCCAGGATGAAATAAAGCTCTAATAAAATAAAACTCCAGGCTGGAATGTGTTTACCATTGCTGTGGAATATAAATATAGGATGTGCTGTCACATCTGAGCTCCTGTCAGGACCTGGGAGCCGGGAAGGTACCAGGAGTTTGGAGACACCACAGACAGTGAGCTCACAACTGGTCTCCAGGGGGAAATCCACAGGCAGGTGCTGGAGCCCCTGAGAGAGGCCATGTGTGTACATGTGACTGTGTGTGCATGCACGAGGCCGGAACACAGCAGAGCAGAGACTGATTTTCACTGGTGGTTGTGATTCTCCCAGACAGCTCAGCATGAGCCGGACTGGGACACTTGAGGAAAAGCTCGGACAGTGAGCCCCTGTGCGGCGCCCCTCCGCTCCAGCCGCTGGGCTGTGTTGCATTCTGCAATCTCTCCCTTCTTCCCTGGTGCGGGATGCAGGGTGCGTGTGAGGGTCTGGAACACAAAAACTCAATAACCTGTGTTCCACCACCACTCACTGTGTGGTCTCGGGCAGTAGGTTAGACCCTTGTGCAGCTCTGCGTCCTCACCTAGCGTGATGTCGTATTAACACGAGTTTTACTGTGTTGCTGCAAGGATTTAGGCTTAAGGCCTATAAATCACATAATCCATGCTTGGCTGGCGGAGAAGCTTGGTGACCAGGGTCTCCCCAACTCACTGTCCATTCCTCTGTGCTTGGGTAGGGGGAGAGGGGTATTTTTAAAGTTTAAACTCAAATTAACATAGTTATTTTAAATTTTCAAAAAATCATATTCAGTGATTTTTATAAAGCTCATTTTAATGAAACAATTTTGTTACAAAAAATTAATGCTGTGAAGGTCAGACCTTTCGTGTTTCATAAAGCGCTGACAACCAAAATAAATACTTCCCACGTTTTCCCATCTGCTAAGGATCTCGGCGTCCTGGCCATGCATAATCACACCCACAGTCGCGCCTACAGGCTTGGGGTGGAACAACAGGCAAGGAACAGAACCGGGTCATGCTGGGTCCCAAAGGGTCCCGGCATGCAGCCCAGGTGCTGGGCTTGGTCCCCCGTCCACCAGCTGCCCTTGGGTTCCCCTACAGTGAGGTGCCAAGTCCGGGGCAGAGGATGGACCCTGAGGTCTGCAGGTCTGACCCACTCTGGAGCCTGCCACGGCAAGGCTGAGAGGACGCACAGAGGTGGGCAAGCCAGAGCCTGCGCTTGGACACCGCCATCAAGGTGGAGGAGGCCTGGCCACAGAGGCCACGCAGTGCTGAAAGCTCCACACAGGCTCCTATGCTGCTCTCCGGCTGCCGATATGAGGAGAGACAGTGCGGAAAAGAACCATGAAGTGGGGGCCGCACACAGGAGCCGGCTGGCGAGCCCAGGACGAGCAAAGCGGAGGATGCAGCGGTCTCCGAGCCAGCAAGGCTGGGACAACCAGAGCTCAGGCCCCTCACGCAGGCCTCGGCCTCTGCTGTCTGCAGGGCAGAGCGGCCAAATCTGGACATGGGCTGCCGGCAAGATCTTGCTTCTCAGAGTCTGCCAGACAGTATCGACCAGGCACGCACAGTGCCCAGCCCCAGCTCCATGGGATCCTTGGGGAGGGCAGGCTGAGCCCAGTGGGAGGTGACCTGCACCCCAGAACATTGCACACTCTTTGTCCTGAGTGACTGTGATGCCCTTGACATCAAATGGCCCAGCTCTAAAATCAGACACAACCACCTACCCTTGCAACCTCCACCCAGAGCACCTGCACAGAGGCTCTCGGTGGAGAACTCACCAGGGCAGACTTTCCCTGTCCCTAACCAGCTGGAGTGACCACTGATGCAGGGCTGGCCTGAGAGGCTCCCTGGGCAGGGACAGATTCCAGAAGCTTAGCCGGTGAGAGACTGTGGGGACCGAAGAGCGCGGCCCTCTTATTTGCCCGCTGGTAAAATGCACCTCTGTACTCCCCGTGGCTTCACGCAGGTTAATAAATCATCACACCGAAGGTCTCTTTCGAGGCTGTGTCACTTTGACACACTTCATGAAGCTGAGTTTCAGACGCTAAAAGTCACTGCAAAAAGTATATGCGCACACTGAGATTTTCTGTGGAAGGAAGGTTTTCAAGGCTATGTCAAGCTCAAAAAACAATTTGCACATAAACATATTTAAACAATTTAACATCCTCTTCTCCACATTAAGGAATATTTGGATTAGTTACATATGTTCCAATGTGCCAACAAAATTCTGTAATTCAAATCTTCTTTCTAGACTTTTGTTTTGGAAGCTAAGTCTCAAAGTTGCCAACGTGAAAGACTCTGTCTTAGCATCGACTACGTCACCCATCTTCCTGGTCAGGGTCCAGAGGTGCGGGTCTGCCCGGCCCAGCCCCTGCCCCCACCCCCAGCTCTCTGTTCCCAGCCCAGCGCACATTAGCAAGCTGCTCTCCGCACAGCCGGGCTCCGTAGCACAGCGTGCATCTGGGGACATCTACAGGCCATCTTCTGCCATCAAGCAAAGGAGCAGATGCATGTGTCCGTGTCCAGGCCACCACCAGGCATCCAGAGCCCTGTCCTCCCACCACCCGATCTTCACACTGCCACCTTCACAGGGAGCCACAGCACAGAGGAAACCTGCAGACCCCAGCCGGCTGGAGACTCTGCTCGCTGCGGGGAGAGGAGCCCAGCCAGGGCTCCAGACTCTACCACGCCTGTTCCAACAGTTCTCTAAGCGATTGCTTTGTGAGCCTCAAACCACAGGTTATTGATGGTTTCATAAATCAGATTTCCTGGTCAAGCATCAAAATGCTTTGGAAAATCTGATAATTCAGAGAGCAAGAGAATTATACATGCATTCAGGTAACACCAAAGAGCAGATGAGAAGTGAGTGTCGGTCAGTGCTTACAGTAATTATCTCTAACACTTGCCAAAGGCTCTGCTGGTTTGGCCTGAGCCTTGCGTGCTGTACAGCCGACACGAGCACCACCGCCACTGTCCCAGCGCAGTCTACAAAGCAGGGACCAGGCTGGGCCTCCTGCCTGGGCAGCCAGCAGAGCTGGGGGACCGGGCCCGGCCCTCAGAGGCTCCTCTCCTCACACAGATCTGGGGGTTCCCGTCCTGCCAGGACCTGTGTTGTAAAATGCCGGATGGTGTTCACTGTTCTGAAATGAAATAGATGGAAAATGTGACCTGTAACTTCCAAAAACAGCCCCAGCCATCCTGGCTGTCTGACGAGCATGAGAGGCTTTCTGACCCTTCAGGTCCCAGAGCCAAGCCTGGCCCTCACCTTCCCCTAACTTCTGAGCACAGGCTCTGCCCTCCTTGCTTGCCAACACTGTGACTAGTGCTCCAGCTCTGGCGGGTTTTGTACACAGACCCCCCTTTGCACACGTGAGTCACCACGCCCTACGCTCTCACACACACAGTCACGTGGTTCCCCATGTTCCACTGTGGACTCTAAGTAGCCAGTTCATAAAATGTGCTCCTTTTAAATAATTTTCAAAGTCAGGTTTTTCTCTACAGTCTGAGAAAAAAAGCAGCTCGCACTCTTTGGTTGTGGTTCTGTCTGTAACCTGGGGTGCTCTGGGGGTCAGGGTCCCTGCCTGGCGGGGCTGTGGGGCCCCCTGGAGACCCCACCTACTGCGGCCCCAGAGCAGAAACATGGACGAGGGTGCCCGGCTCAGGAGCCTAGGACAGTCACTGTGCTGGACACAGGACACAGGACGCACCAACAGGAGCTCTGAGCGTGGGGAGGGGCTGGGAAGTGCACACTGGAGGAGCTCAGGCAGCACCTCACCTCCCTCCCCCAGTCACCCACCACCCAGGTCATGCGGAAACCCAGCACTGCAGAGATCCGGATGGGGAGAGACAGCCCTCCTGCTCGGCTCTCTAGAGGCTCCCAGGGATTGTGTCTCTGCTCTTTCAAGCCTGGGCGCACTTCCAAGTGCTCTGGCCTGGGGCACCGCAGGGCTCCGGGAGGTGGCCCTCCTGCCACCCCACCCCCCACTCCCCATGGCTCCCCAAGGCAAGGCTGGACAGCCCAGGCCTGGGCTCCAGGCAGCGCTCCCCTAGCTCAGCAGACCCATCCCCAACCCTCGGAGCACATTTTATGTCATGAACTGGATTTCACTGGAAAGCAACATCCTATTCTTAAACGTGTCTTGATTTTCTATATGGCTTACAAAAACACTGCATTTTGTGAGGGGGAAAAGGCAAGAATTATTGAACAGAATCCTAATAGAATTACGTAGTACATGGGGCTAAAACTTGCAGTTATGGAAAAATGTAACATACGGCAATATTCAAAATATTACAGAAAGTGGGTATATCTGGCAATTTTTAGAAATCCTACCAGAATTCCCACAAATCTCTGAAGGTCAACTCCAAAATCCCAACTGTTTTGTTTCCAAAAATATTTCCTTTCGAATTTAATTTGATTGCAATAATAAAATTATAAAATACATCTTTTCAGAAACCAATGGTAACCTTGCCAGCTGAGTTCAGTTAGAATCAGTGTTAAGAAAGAAACCATTAATATCGCAAAACTCAGAGCACAGCGCTACATTTTAAAGTGGAGGAAATGTAAACTGTCAGAAAGACGCCAGGGAAAATATTCCCTGCCTAGGATCTTAAAATTTATATCTGATCATTTTTCTTTCTTCCATTTGGACACTCATAAATCTAGATTGAAACAACCAGAATCAGTGAAACGTGATATAAAATACAGTGTGGTTTTTAGCTTCCATTCCACTTAACATAAAAGATACATTTTTAAATTAGCCTCCGAAATTAGACTAGCATAACAGGACAAAATGCGAGCTGCCTTCCTGGATTCAATTCTGGGGGAAAACGAGACATTATTATGAAGGCCGATAAACTCTGAGTAAAATCTCAGCTTCACAGTGTGGCAGGCATTGACTCGGTGTCCTGGGCAGAGAACCCTGGCTGTGCAGAGAGCTGAGAGAGGTGACTCGGGAGGCTGTGGGGACCTCCCGGGGTGGCCTGCGTGGGATAAACCATGGGAAGCAGCCGCAGTGGGAGGGCCTCGGGGCCAGGCCATCTGCTCCTCTCCGGCCCTAGACAGAGCCCGTGAGTCTCTGGCACCCTCCAGCCTGCAGTGGAAAGTAGATCTTAGGGAGCAGCACAAGCCAAGGGAATGGGGCGCTTCCTAACACAGCGGGGCAGGAGCTGGTCTCCATGGGAACGGAAGGGAGGGCGGGACCTAGGTCCTCTCCTCAGATTTAGAGATGCCCACGGCACAATCAGCCCCACACAAGGCCATCAATTGAGGGTCTGGAAATTTCGTGAAGTCACCGTAAGAGTCAAGCCGGGAAGACTCCACGCAGGCTAAGAGTGCGTGGGAGCAGGAGTGGATGTGGAAATGAGGGACCCACGGCTCGGAAAGTGTGATTCGGGTCGCTGGAGGCAGCGGGGCACTTACTAGAGGACCGGGAGCCCAGAACCTCCACAGCCAGCTCCTGCTCCACGGGTTTCTGCTGCACCGAAATGTCACCCTTTCTTCCACCGCAGATCCTTAATGAAATCCACTCTGTAGGTCTTCACCAGTTTTTAAAAAACAAAATAAGATAGAACATTAAATGCATTTCATAATGTAAGGGTTAATGTTTTATGATATTTTTTTAAAAATACGTTTATGTAATCACATAGTGTATTTATTATGTGTTTACTGTGATTTATATCTAGATGTCCCCCAAAGCCTTTGGCTTGTAGGGGGGCTCTGTGGAGGTGGCTGGGGTATGGGTGTGTGATTAGTCCGCTGAAGGGCTTGTAGCTGCATGTGATATTTGGAGGTGAAGCCTGGTGGAAGAGGTGGGTCACGTGGGCGTGGCCTGGGAGGCAGCCGACCCTCCTCCTCCCTCCTCCCTCTCTGCTTCCCATCCTGGTACCACAAGCTGCTTCTCCTCCGCGATGCCCCTCTGCTGTGCCACCTGCTTGGAGCCAGTCAGCTGTGGACCAAAACCTCTGCAAACTGTGAGCCAAACGAAACCTCTCCTGCTTTAACTTGTGGGTGTTGGGTATCGTGTGCCAGCACAAGAAAGTGACTAATTGTTGGACTGTGTATGTGTATGATAGCGCAAGGATTGTGAATCACATCAGGAAAAGTTTTTGCTTCCCGTGGAGTTGTATTTAAGAGGACTTTGAAAATCATTGAGGAGATGATCCTCTGGTCATGGTGGCGGTGAGGGAAAGGCATTCTCCCTGCCTTCAACAGAAAAATGGGCCGGAGACTTAGCTCAGCAGCACGACCCTGCTGACAAGCACAAGCTCAAGAGTCTGATTCCTGGTACCAAAAAGAAAAAAGAAAATGGGAAATGGGACTTTAAAAGACAACTTGCCAATAGGTACCAAATTCTCAAAATCCTTTAGGTGTTTTGAGCCCATATTCTGCCATTCACAATGTAGTCTAAAGCAGCATGAGCTCGGGGACTTAGTGGATCTGTTTCTCAAGGCATCACAAAATCACTGAGGCTGGGCAGAACCACACACTGGACAAGCCTTTGCCAGGTCCTGGGCAGGGACATAACACGTAACCAACTCTGCTAGCTGTCAATCAAAATTGGTGGTCGATACTTATACAACTGGTATCCAGAGAGCCCTCTAATGTCCAGTGTGCGTCCAGTGTGTGTCCAGAGAAGCTTTCTGAGGGGATAAGCAGAGATTATAAAATACGGGTTCTGTGGGAGGCAGAGAGATACTGTGGATAAATCCAACTTCTCCCCTATTATTTCAAAAATTGTATCTTTTCTCTATCTGAGAATGAGCCTCTGGCATTCAGCCCAAACAGCTTCTTACAGTGACTTTTAAGCCATCTGCGGTGTATAAAGCAGAGAAAAACCAATGCAACTAGACTAGGGTGCAGTTTTCAAGAACACACCTTAGATTAGACAAAGGGATATCACAGGATGTCACCAGCCCAGGCTGGCTGTGTGAGGTTGGCAGTTTGAGGTTGGCAGTGTGGCCCAGGTCTCCAGGGAGTAACCGAGGGAGTCTGCAGGCAGGTGCAGGTGACGTTCACCTGAGCCGCAGCCCCAGGTGCCCACACCCAAAGGCTGTGGAAGGAGTGGCCAGTCCAAGCTTCCCGCCGCCACCAGCCACCACCTGTGCCCGTTTTACTCACAGACAGCTGGCAAGAGCTGCTAGAGAGGCCCTGAGCTCACACAGACAGCTAAGATCTTGAGGTCCTTTGCTTTTTAAGAAAAAAATAGAATTAAAAAACTAGATAACAGTGACAGTGACAAAAATCAATACACTGTGAATTATCTCCAGAGAAGGTGTTTAGGGTACAAGACACAGGCATGAGATAGCGTCCAGCAATTTCAGCACAAACCTTCCTTTTCAACGAACTAAGGGAAGCTCTCAGCGTGACTACCCCGCCCGGGGAGGTCTGGGAAGCTCTCCTAGTGCACCAGATTAAAGAAGGCCAAGACTACAGCCAGTGCCAACAATCAGTGGCCTGAAGGTGTAGGCCAGGTTACCAGGAGCACTGTCAGGAGTGATTCCTCTGCTCCCAGGTGACCTGCTGCGCTGTGGGACCCCATCGGAAGCACTCTGCTGCCTGGGGTCTGGCACACGGGGCGTCCATATCCATCATCTTTAATAACAAACCACACATGGAGGCATTTGGGGGTCACTGGGAATGCAGCAAGCATCCTCGGGGGCCTGAGCTGGCCAGAGGTGCAGTGGACACTAACGCCAGGTTCGGCAGGACTCCCTGCTAACAGGACCTTGAGTCAGAAGAGGAAACTCACTGGGAACTGCATCCCCAGCTTCCCAGGGTTTTAACTTAGTGTCAAAGTGTCGCAACTATCCACCGAGCCCAGCCCACCTTCACCAGTATTTACACGAGAGCCCAGTGCCCTTCCACACTCACTTCCCTGCCCCACCCCCTGCCACGTGCCTACAGGTGTGCAAGGGGCCGAGAGTGTAAAAGGGAGCGAGGAGTACAGCCGGACAGAAAGGTGGCCACCTGGGCCCTGAGGCCAGCACCGTCTCTCTGGGCCTTGCCCAGGATACCAAGCCCAGCCCAGCCAGCTCCTCCTCAGAGCTCTGTCCCCACAAGTTCAGTGAAAGCAAGAAATAAAAATGAGTCCTGGAACTTTTTAAATGGCTTGCTTCAATGTGCACAGCATTCTGGGTGTGCATGAGATTTAAAAAAAAAATAAAATAAATTTCAAACACAGAAACTCACAACTATTTACAAAAAGTTGGTTAATGAACACCATGATAAATGGGCTCCCAACTTTCTCATTACATCAGAGAACCTACATATTAAAATGTATTTTACTTAAAGCCCTATTTGAGAGGCAGAAAGATGTGTACCCGTCAGCCGGATCTGCAGCAGAGAGGAAAGTTGTCTTAATGCACACTCTTATCTTTGAGCAGCACACGTCCCCGGCGCAGTGAACAGCCCTTGGTGAACTCGGAGAATTTCGCGGGGCTTTTGCACACTGCCCACTCAAGGACCTTGCTTGGATCCTGAATGACAGTTGGGAGGAGCTCGGCCTCCCTGCGAAGGAGCGAGAGAAAGCAATCAGCACCCCCATGACCCGCTGGGGCGGCGGCCACCCTCCGCCCGCCGGACCTCTCTCTACCTTGGGTCGGTCAGCAGTGGGGCAGCCTCACCTGTGCTTTCAAAGTAGCCGTATTCCGGTAACTAGCCCTGTTCTGGCAATTAGCCACCTGACTGCCTGAGACGCAGGGGTGCCCCGGAAGGAAGCCCCGCATCTCACACCGCACCACGTGATGGTCACGCGGCCACGCGTGCACTCTGCTCCCCCTAGGTTAGCCAGCTGTGCGGTGTAGCTAGCGCAGCTCCACCCGCGTGGAGGAAGTGAGCAGCGCGGGCTCACTGTCACAGATTAACGCCTCCCGGCTGCAGACAAACAGGTGTCAGCCGCTCCAGCAGCTGCCTGTCACAGGACGGCCGCCACCAGGGGCCGCCAGAGGCGGGGGATCGGAGCCACCCCGCTCTCCGCCAGGGGGAGACAAAGAGCCGCTCTCCAACTGCAGGGAACCTGAGGCTTTGCAAGACCCTCTGTGCCCTGCTTCATGCAGGGGAGGAGCGCCTTGGGTGTCATGCTCACTTAGGCTGGATTATAAGGTTTAAATCCATAGTTTTAAGGGACGGGGCTGCGGGAAGCAGCCCCAGGAAAAGGAATCACCTCTCCCCAGGCTTCTGCCCTGAGCTGAGGCTGCATGCAGGGTGGTGGGAGGGCGCCCTGAGGTGCCTGAGCAGAGCCCACCGCGGTCCCCTGGAGGGGCCAGCCGTGCTCCCAGTGTGGGAAGGCCCTGGAGGCCCCGGCCTCTCAGGCAGTCACCTTGGGCCACTGAGCCAAGCCCTGCCTGTACATGGAGACGGGCCCAGGTTGCACACACCCCCCCACCCCCCACCCCCCACCCATCCCCACCCCACCACCCCCCCCCCCGTGTGGGAACCATGTGTTTATTTACCAGGGAGCTCAGCCAGGGGTCTTGGCCTGCAAAGGAGAAGGGCAGGGCAGAGGTGCATGCTAGGAGGAGAGGAATGCTGCCCTGCAGCTGCTGTGCCACTAATAACAATTAGCTTTGGCAGCCTTGGACGCCCAGGTACTGTGGGCTCGTGCCTCAGTTTACAAGGCCAAGGGCAGACCCCATGTTGGGCTTTCCTGGGCAAAGGAGACAGTCACGAACCCCTGCACACTCAGTGTCTCCCCCACACTCGGGACAGTGAGGGGCAAGGCCAGGCAGCAGGCGAGCAGCATTGGGAACACCACCGGCAGCCTCTGCCACCTTCTCCTCCTGTCACCATCGAGCCAGCTCTCCTGAGCGAGCCACTCTCCGTGCAGAACACTCAGCCGCCAGAGCAACACACAGGTCTGCAGCCCAGCGCGGATGCTGCCCCAGCGTAGTGTGTGAGACGAGAGGGGAGGAAAGACAGCAACCAAGTAGGAAGCCACAGGGACGGTCGTGTCCAGAGGGGTGGGAAACAGGCCTGCGAGCCCTCAGCCTCTCCCCCACAGAAGCCACTCCAGCTCCTCCTTCTCGGGAAGGCAGGTCCCAGCTGCCCACTGATGTAAGAACGGAGCAGATGGGTCACCAGGCCCTGGAAAGCAGCGTGGCCCCCACCTTGCCACCTCTTGAGTGTTTCCTGGGCCCCATGGCAACATGTTAGAAGGCCACCACATTAGACAGACGCAGAGACCCCCAAGGAGCCTGCGCCATGCTGGCCCCAAGTGCAGAGAAAGCTGGGAAGACCCAGCCCTGGCTGCTGCAGAGCTGCAAGTCTCAGAGTCCCCAGGAGAGGCCAGCCTCCAGCGCCAGCCAGCCCTCAGCACCATCGAGACAAGGACAGCAAATGCCCACGACAGCTTCATGCTACCATCTGGGGGGTGACTGCTACCGACCTGAGACGGACCCTGACAGCAGCTGGCCCTTCAGCCACAGCACTGGCAGACAAACAGGTAAGGGGACAGTCTGCATCCAGAGGACTCCTGTGACCCCACCAGGTGTCCATGCAGGCACATGGTTCCCGGATCTAACGTAGAGGACATGGGCGTGATAAGCAAGGACCACAGGACAGAGCCAGGGGCCCTGTACGGATGGGGCCAGGCAGCAGAGATGGGCTCTGACCCAGAGGACCCGCAGCTCTTTCTCTTCACGGTGTCCACAGGAATTAGTGTCGCCTCTTTGGCAGGGCTGGCCCGAGTCACCTGCTCCTTCCGCAGGCTCAGGAAGTCACAGGGCACCCAAGTGGCATGAGCCTGGGGCAGCAGGCTCGGAAGGCGGCAGGAGAGCCTCTGTGCTCAGGACCAGCTCCACGCCAGTGACTGATGCACTGTGGCTGTGTGGCCATGGTGGCCTTTTGGGACCCACAGAGCTTATGCGGTGGTATCTTTACTTCCTCAGTGAAGCATCGCTGTTGGGTTCCTCTAGTGACAGGAAGACATGGCAGGAGGGTGCTGTGGCCTGGCTTCCTCATGTCTCCCCAGTGTGGTCGCCCCCAGACTAATTATGTCCCAGCAGTGAAGTCTGTGAAGCTTCCAAGGCACCGCGGGCGGGTGTCCGCAATGCATTTTTCACGTGCGGTGTTTCCTGCTTCAGAGTAGCTGTTCCACGTGCCCTGATAAGCCACGGCCCTGCCCTGCTGCTCTCTTTAGCACTGTGAGTGGCCCTCGGTCTTTGTGGGAAGGACACACACCAGTCAGGGACACTGAATCCCTCTGGGGCCTCGAAGTGGAAGATCTGAGCCCAGCACTGTGCCAGGTCCCCTCCTTCTCCAGGAGCACTTGGCTGGCTTCCAAGAACCACACAACCAAACGAAACCAGATGCCCAGAACCAGCATCATGGCTGGCAAACAGCACCAACAGGTCCCCAAAAAGCTGCTTGAAAAGTGACCAGAAAACCACCTAGCACTATAACCATAAAAATAGTGCCCACATTGTACTCACCAGCCTGACAAATCCTCCAATGACCCTCCGCACTCCCAGACACCTGGGTGCTTGAAAACTCAGCCGACTCAGCACTTTCTGACTCTCTCCTTCTCAAATCCATTTCTTCTTTCTAGCTTTGTTTCTTTAGTATCTTAGCGGCCATTGCCACCTCCTAGTTCTAAGGCCCTGACTCCATTTCTTTCCAGCTTTATTGCAGTAACAATAAAAATGTATGCATTTGCCAAGTACCATATATCGTGAAGTGATTAGATCTAGCTAGTTAGCATATATATCCAGTACCTCACAGGCTCGTAATCATCAGGAGGCACCATTAAACCTTTCAGGTGGGCAGCACCTCAGGCTGGGCTGTGCTGTCTCACAGACCTCAGAACCCACACACCAAGGGAAGCCTGCTGCCCTTGGACCAACGTTTCCCACTCTCTATCCTGATAACGTAATTCCTTCCGTTAGCAATGGAAACACTTTTCCTGGAGAAATGGCCCAGCTCCTTGAGAGCATTTCTGGCAAGCCTGATGATGGACCTCCCAAGCAGACCCCCAGAACTCAGAGACTCTGCAGCCCGTGGCAGCCCTTTCAGAGGCATGCAGACTCAGCCAGGCCAGCTGGGGTGAGGGGCAGTTCCCAGGCTGATAAGCTACTAAACAAGAGGACCTCTCTTTTCTCCAGGGATGCCAGCCGTAGGAAACAGAAGCTGAGTTTGCCAACAGCGACGCTAGGAAGTCTGAGAATGAAGCCAAGAGCAAGGAGACAGAATGCATGGGGGGGACAGAGTGCGGTCACGTGGCTGAGCTGGCTGGGCCCAGACTAAGCTCCAGTGGGCTCCAGCTGTGCTTTAGAAAACCCTCGGTCAGTGTGCAGAGGCCATGGTGCTATTTTAGAGCAGGCCAAGTGAGGAGGCCATCACTTACATGGCTGAAATGTTGACTATAAGGAGCCGTCCTCGGAAAGTGCCTATTATAAATGAGAGCCCACACAAGGCAGGCGTGGCTCAGCTGTGGCGTGGTGGATGGCAGTGAGGACACCCCTAGCCTTAGGAAGCCAAGCGGTAGACAGGCTTCAGGTGCTTACCTGTGTCTGATGCCTACCTGGCAGGCTGGGGTCTTAGTGCACCTTGCAGAAAAGCCCTGGGGTGCAGGAGGGGCTCGGTTCCCCCGCAGGCTTCCCTGAGGTCCAGGAGCAGATTGTATGTGGAAGCCTCCTGTGTGGCCACCCAGGAGCAAAGCGACTGAGTGTTTCTACCTCACAGCTACTGAAGATGTGTCAGGTCCTGGGGTACCTTAGCCGGGACTCGGATATCTAACTGAGGTAGACTACTCCAGGCTCGATTCCTTTGCCCTCAATTTCCTGTGATTTATGGGTGAATTTTGGCAACATTTTCTTGAGCTTGTCAGCATGCCAGCGACTGACAGCGGTGCCCACAAATGAGACGATGACAGCTCCTATTCCTGGGAATTTTACACTCTAGGTACGAAGACAGTCAAGAAAATTTCTCCTGCATAAAATTATGAGGGGGGCAGAGAACCTGCGTGATCCACCATCATGTTGCCAGAATTCAAGGAATCCATGTCGCACAAATACAGTGGCTGCGTGTGTATAGGTGGCAGAAACAAGCCCTGAGAATTCAGAGTTCTCCAGGGGCCACGGTGCACGGTCGGGTGGGAAGCTGCAGATCATCGCCAGAGACATCACGGAGCAGAGGAAGAGCGCATAGCATCGGCCGGCTCTGAGCGGCTGACAGGGGACAAGAGCGAGATGAGGAGCAGGACAGGGACAGCAGGAGGCAGCGCTGGAGAAGGAGCTAGGGGTGGAGGGGATTCGAGGGGGGACAAGGGTGTACAGGGCACGCAGGTAACGCGGACTGCATGGCAAACACCAGGGATCCGGGTAACATGAAAGGGCAGAAACCAGGCCAGCACTGCAGGAAGTGGGCTAGAATAAAGGGCACGAGGCGGCCTGAGGGTGCGGGCCTTCCTGCGTGCGGCCAGTCCTTTGGGGCTGGGCATCTCTTGCGCACAGACGAGCGAAGTGCCATCCCACACAGACGCGCCTCGGCTCGGGAGAGGCAATTGTGTCTTCAAAATAAAATGCTGGTAGCCGTCCCCGAAGTTTAAGGTAAAAAAAAAAATCCAAGATGATGTTTTTGAGTTTTTCTCTCATGCATGCATTACACTTTTGCCATCCGTTCTGCATTCTGCCCACCAGGTTTAAATTTCAGGAAAACAAGGGAATAAAAAGACATTTTAAAGGAAAAAATGCAGGGAGAAACTAAAATGTGTTGGCTTGGTGACTTTATTTCATGGTCAGTATGCTTGAAATCGTGATTTTATGTTATAAACACGAAGAGCATTTTCAGGTGGTATAATAGAATTAACTGCTCCATTTCTGTGGCATTTTCAAA